CCCGTATTCTTTTTTTACCTTATCTTTTATTGGGCTAGTTTGCTAACCTTTTTTGGTCATGGTTTATGTATAAGATCATTTGAAAATTTGCTTGTTCGAATTTAAAAAGCTGCGACAGTTTAAAGAAATCTTTTGTCCCAATTCTTCATTGCTGGTTTTATCTTTTATGATGGTGAACTTTATTTTCAGGTGCAAAGATGTTTGAGATCCAAGGTATTCTTTTTCTTATTTTTTGTTTTTTTCATGGTTCCAATATTGGTCTTAGTAAAATAAAAGAATTGACATATGGGCAGAAATTGTGGGGATAAATGGACATGATAAGAAAAGCAACAAAGATAATAGATTTACCTATTCCATTGTCTGATTGAGAATCAATTACACTGGATTTAATCCTCTTTTTCTTTTGGGTTTTGATCAAGATCTGGTTGCATAAGGTTGGCCGTTGTCAAACCTGGCAAGTCCAAATCAAATTTTGCTAATAAGAGAGTCAAATAGCATGGTACTGAGACATTGTGCATTGGAGATTTTTCTGTTATCTGTTTTCTGTACTTACCTTACCCCATACTAATATGATTTTCATGGGATTATGTGCACTATATGAGATCTGGAGGTAATTGTGAGTACATGTTATACGATCCGAATGACCAGAAACAGTTTATGATTTGAGTTGCAGTATTTAATTCGCTACTAGCTAATCGTTACATTATTAGTGGACCATGAATGGTCAGTTTCTCTTCAATTATATGGGGAATATAATGCTCTCATTCAAGTTTATTAAGTATTGTATTGTTTCACATGTTCTGAATATTTACGTACATTTAACCTTTAACTAAAGGAAAACCTTGGTGCAGTATCATCAAACCCTTAGTGAAAATGTCCATTAGTGCCATTCACATATTTCTTTGTGATGTTTCTGTTTCTTGACGGTTCTTCAGGGAAATTGAAGCATTTCTCATAATATGTCTCTCTTGTGCTATCTCTTTGCGTAAATAATGTCATAATATGATGAAAACTATGGGGTGTGTGCCCCCCTCCTAATCGCAGCATTGACATTTGCTTCAGTAACCCTGATGATCAGGTACCCGATCTTCATTTCTTCTCTAAATTTATGAAATAACCCAGTTAGTCTTTTCTTTGTTGCCATTGTGCCTTAGATTTCTCTCTCCCATTTTATTGATTTTTTCCCTGAGCTCTCATTTATGGTATTGTCACTTTGGTTTTGTTTTAAAGATGAATGACATTTGATACAACAATTTACAGAGCTGTTACCTTTAGAAATCTATGCTACCAATTCGTGTTCGTTAGTTTCATCTTGTCAGGTGTTTGAGCCTTGTTTAGGAAATCTGTGGTAAATAAAATTTGTGTTTGTTTGTAGAGTTTTCATTTACTTATTCCCTGCACTTATCCAAATTTCATACTAGTATGATTTTCATTGAGAACTTGGGTTGAAGAAGAGAAGTTATAATTTTTAAAAGTATACTATCTACTTTTTATGAGATCTTGAGGTAGTGTGAGCATTGTGTACGGATTAGAATAGAATGCCCAGCAAGAAGCAGTGGTTTTTTATTATTTATTTTTAAGTTGCCGTATCTGGTAAATAAAATTGTGTAGAGCTCTGGTTAGAGTTTATTTGGTATCGTATTTCTTCACCCCAAAAACATGGCTTTGTATTTTAGCACTGGATTAAATGTATTTTAAATATTCAAACCCCTTTAGTGGGCTGGAATATGTTTTGTATGATGTGTTTGCGCGGGCGTGCCACTATTAGTAATGTTAAGTCAATGTAATTTCGACAAAAATGGAATAGAAGCCTTGCAACTTATGAAATCTTAACCGATTTTTAAGTCATCGCGCTCTAAAGTGGGGAACTGACATGGGTTGATTATTTTTCTATGTCCGGAATATTAAAGACTTCAAATTCCACTTGCATGATGTAAGAACTCAAAGAATAAAACGCTGAAATTGTAATCGAACCAAAAGAACTTCAATTAAAGGAGATATGAATGTGTTTGAATGGATAGTACAAGTTAAAGAAATCGAAAAGAGCCCAATTGGACCAGAATAGAAGCAAAAGGAAGACAAACGAATTGCCATAACTTTAAATTGGACAAACTTAAACAGGAATGCATAGTACTTAAATCATCACAATTGGATTTACATATCAACTGGAAATCTTACCATCTAAGGAAGAAAGCAGAGCAAAATAAATAATGAGTTGTCAACTGAAATCCGAATTGAGAAGAAGTTGATATCTATTTGAGAGAGAGAGAGATTGTGTGTCCTCTTTGTGCCTTCTAAATCTGCTAATATAGCCCTCTCAATTGCCTGGTGATGGCAAGCCAAGTAGCCCAATACTAGGAAACAACTTTCCCTAAATTACTATTGAAATTAAGCAGTCATAGATTTTCTTTGAAGTGATGTTAAGCCAAAATGCATAAAATGATACCTAAAATGATATCGATTCCCAAAATAACCGTAATTGGAGGGATACTATTTGCACGGCGGATATCTTCATCATTTTGATAACACAGCATGCCGTGTTATAATTATAGGAAAGTATAAGAACCCGATTATTTCCCTTTAAGAAGTTCACTATGTTGGGTGGAAGACTCAAATAATTAAAGATAACTACATTGAAATGGGTTTGGATTTGGATGAGGAAATTTAAAGTACTAAGGAATTCATGAATGATGAAATTTAAAAATGACGGAAATTAATGTCTTATAATTTGTAAAGTTTCTTGTTTGGCTACCAAATTTAAACATGGAATTTAATGTTTATCATCTCGGAATATTAGAAATGACGACCGTTGGAAGAAAATAACTCGGAATTTAGCTAAAATTCGGGAATTGAAGAGAAGAAACTGATATTTCCATTGTTTGGCAACTTAAACATGGAACTTATTAAATGATGCGTGGGAAAAATCATGGAAATTGTGGATCGAGATTCCCAGGTTTAATTTATGTCAAAAGAGTCATTTCACAATTCCAATTGAGTATGAATTTATTTTCGCTATAATTTTTGTCATTTACAAAATTCGAAAACTCAAAACATTGAAATTAATAATTCCCAGAAATTTAAATGATGGAGATCTAAATTCCATCATTTAAGTGGCAAAAACTCTCACGAAATTCCCACAATTCTAGGTAATTTTCAATTCATTCGTCCAAATAGCGGATTAAAGTTGGTATTTATGACCTCCAAATTCCATGTTTTTCCCCACATGGAATTTTTGGATTTCTTTGTTTTTTTATCCAAACACGGGAATTGGTTTATGTCAATTTAGAAATTCTGACTTTTGTCAAAATCCATTTGGATGAAGAAATTTAACATTACATAGAATTATAAAATGACGGAATTTAAATTTCTATCCTTTCAATTTCTAGCAATTGAAGATTTCAGTGTTTAGATTTATGTATGTCAAATTTTGTAAATGACACTGTGAAAATTGTGAAATGAAGCCTATTTTGGTGGAAATTAAACTTTGGAATTTGATGCACCAATTTCCATACTTTTTTTCCACACATCATTTAATAAATTCCGTGCTTAAGTTGCCAAACAAGGGAATTGTCAATTTCTTCTCTTAAATTCCCGACTGTTGGCTAAATTCTGAATTATTTTCCCTTGTCTAAACAAAGATAAATTTATTTCCCTCATCCAAATACACTGAGCTCAAAATGAATTACTCACCAAGCATTAAAATGACTCTCAACTTAAGTGAGTTGTGATAGATAGGTTGCTAGTAGTTCATGAAAACTGAAGGCACCACACGTTGAAGTCAAAGAGAGAGAGAGCTTTTGTTTGAAGTTGTTCTGCAAAGTTGATGAGAGAGCCGCCTAGCTAGCTTCTGAGTTATTACATGCACGTGTGATCCACTAATAATAAATCCAAATACATTTATGGTCAGGCTTAGACATTCAATTCTTAGTTGGAAGGTAATATTTTAATTCGTAAAAAACTAACACATTAAGAATTCATATTTTTTTACCTATTATATTGTCACACAATTTTAAAATTTTAAAATTTACCATCTACTTTAATACAACAACAAGGATATTTAAGTAATTAGCACAACTCTTACCCCAATTCCATATAGTTTAGTAAACAACTTTAATAGGAATCCGAAATCTAATTATCCTCAATCCAACTCCTCCTCAATTCAATCGGATTAGTAAACATGAGAACAAATAGTAATTATATCTACCAGATCAAGTGATAATTCTATGTTTGAAGTGGCACAATGTGTTTTAGGGCATGAAAAAACCAATTTAATCGGACTCGTTAAATTGAACAAGTACCCATATATTAGCTAAACAAGCAGCTACTTCAGGAAAAACACTTGTGTAAAACAGAGATTTTTTCTGTTTCAGACCAATCACAGCATGTCGCGCATAATGACTTTTCTACATAGCAGTCTATATAATTGATCGGGATAACAAAACAGTGATATTCCCGTTTCATGCAAGTTTTTTTGCTTCTTCTTCATGAGTGAGACTACGTGATATAACCGGACTTAGTCTCAATTTTATCATGGCCTGCGAACCAAAGAGGTAAAGTAGCCTATCAAAAGAAGTAATTGATACATCTATGTATCCTGATTCCGGGACAAATCTGCTAGGTCATTTGAAGGTTATGCACAGTACAGGTTTTTCAAATTGTGTACTTTTGAAATATCATTCATTACAAACTATTTCAAGACTTTATGTTAAAACTGGGCAACTCGACAAAACATGTGATACTTAAAAAGCTAGCCGTGGATCATGTGATGTGCCACAGATGTACCTCCTGCTACATTTAAATCCATTCCCTCCTTTCCATTTTATATTTTCCCCATATATTATTCTTTGCTCCCATCCATCCCTCATCTCTAAATCCCCTTCAACACACACCAACCCTTTTTCACAGCTTCTCGGGATTTTCTCACCTTCCATTTTGATGAAATCTCTTTTCATCAAATTCCTCAAATTTGAGTAGTCTTTGCAAGAACAAATTACAAAACTATGAAGAAGTACTTGTCTCTTGGAGCCCGCACAAGTTTCCTGCTTGGGATTTTCTTCATGTTAATTGTGATGGGCAGAAGCCTACGTGCGAGGCCTCACCTCCCTTGTATGTCTCATCACTCATTATCTCATTCATAAGTTACACAATAATAATTCATTATTTTGAATATTATCACTTTCATTTTTCTTCCTGGGCATTTCAGTGAACCTTCAAGCAGAAATCGTTACCGGTAACAGAGTCAGAGTTCGAATGCACCTTGAGGTTCGTTTCTCGCAAAATTTTGTTAGTTTCAGTGTTACAATAGTGTATCAAATAATCATCTAGTCTTCATTTTGTTGGAGGAACAACTTGTCACGATGACTAAATGTTTTGGAAGGGGAAAAATGGCCTTAATATATGGTTGTTTAATGTGTTTGGTTTTTTCTTCTTCATGTATATACGTAGGAAGGAGCAAAGAAAGAAGAGAACATGGAGCTATACCCATTTGGGTCGAGCTTGCCGGACTGTTCACATGCTTGTGGACCATGCTTTCCATGCAAAGAGTGATGGTGAGCTTCAAGTGCTCCGTTTCAGAGTCTTGCCCAATTGTCTACAGGTGCACCTGTAGAGGAAAGTACTACCATGTACCCTCTAATTGATGAATATTACTTCATCCACCACCATGCTACACTGGCCTCTCTGGTTTTCCTCTTAATTAATTATGTGGGGATTAATTAATTTCTAAGCTTTATATGGATGTTAATTAACTTACCGTGAGACAGGACTTTTCTTGATCCTAATTTTGTTTAGTTAGATTCGGGATTTGTAGTTTAGATGGGAAGAAGAAAAGTTGTAGGGGAGAGTTTATTTGTATATGGGCATATCACGAGTTTCTTGTTTTTTGGGACCCCCTTTTTTTTTCAAGTTTATTCCGTTGATAAGAGATATATTCTAAACTATTCTAATGTATGGGAAAGAATTTGAACTTGAATGCAAGAAGATGGCCATACTGCCTTAGCACGAGCCTAACCCGTATTTGCTCCCTCACTATTTAGTAGATTTGAGCGCTCTCTCTCTCTCTCTCTCTCTCTCTCACTGTATCCATCAATGTTCTGACAGTGATGCCATTAAGGTGCTAGCAGCATATTGGTATTTAATGGATGTATGTCAAACCCTGTAATGCCACAGACAGAAGAACCTATATCCATCACGAGCTGCTTGTGCAAAGTAATATCTTTTTCCTTTTTCTTTTTTGGGTAAAGAGGGGGCCCGAATCCCAAACAACAAAAAGAACTACACTAAAACCATCGTTGGTTGAGCCAAGCTTCTGGCATCAGCAGCAAGAAGCCCAACAACCACACCAAGCAAGTAATATCTTCTTCTCTCTTTTTTGTGTTAAAATGGGGGGGACAAACCCCAAAACAAAAACCCGAAAGCCTATCCAATACAAATCAAACGGCCCCGAGTGACCCCCAACAAATCATCAGCTAACGTAGAGCTAGCCCATATAGGAGCTGAAGCAAAAAACTGAATATCCAAGTCTAGATTATGGCTCCATTTGGCAGGCAATCCGTCAAACCATTCTTCTCTCTGAAAATATGCTGATTATCCCAACTCTCAAAATGTCTAAGCATCTTCCCACAGTTTGAGAGCAAAGCAGTTAGAGGATGGAAACATAGAGAATCCCTTTGTTGGAATAGATTCACAGCAATCTGAGAATCCATTTCAATGGGGATCTTGGTGAAGCCCTTTGCCACTGCTAATCGGAGGCCAAAAAACAAACCCCAAATTTCAGCATCCAAAATACGCCCCTTCCCCAAGTTCACAGCAAAACCTCCACACCACTCCCCAAAACAATCTCTAATCACACCACCAGCATCATTTTCCCAGAAACATTCATGCAGGTGCCATCCATGTTGATGCTCTTTTTCGGAGATGGTCAACTTAGAGAAAAAAGGAGATTCGCCTTCAGCAGGGAAAGAGTCTGCCCTTCAATAAATGCTAGCTTGCAGGAGACAAAATAGGAGAAGCAGTCGTTAAGCTTCGGACACCGGTATTGTGTCGGTCGAAGGCTCTCCGATGCTTAAGTCAGCTAAGAGGGGTAACTTTAGCAGAGTAATAGTAAAAAGTAAGAAAGTAGTTACCCCTTTTTACTAGGGTATTGTTTCCTTTTTAGGAATAGTGAAGTTTGGAATCAGTTTAGTATATATATAATGTATGAACTCTCTGCCCTCTTGTTTGCTCTCTCTCTCTCTCTCTCTCTCTCCTCTCTCTCTCTCTCTCCTCTCTCTCTCTCTCTCTCTCTCACACACAGACACAGACTACGCACATTCAGAAGCTTTAGGGTACATAATCATGGATGTTATTGTTGAGAGGACCCAACTGCAGGCTAAGAATTTATTTGGTTTATGTAGGTCTTATCAATGCTTCCAGGATTTAGTGCTGAATTAATGCCTAAAGGTCGTGAAAAGGAAAGCCAGGCAAAGAACAAGTGGTACTTGACCATGATGGATTCAATGACAAAATAAGGCAAGTAATGCCCATTCCTTTTGTTTATGTGTATTAAGCCACATAGTTTGAGCAATAACTGTCATGTTTAGTTCCTTTGTGGGGTGGGGAAGAAACTCACATGGTTTAGTGAATAGCTTAACGTGTCTTGCAGAGTTGGATAGCTCAAATCCAAAACTCATGAATGAGTTACGTATAATTCGAAAAGCACGAGGTTCTGGTCTCGAAATTAGAGAAGTAATGGAGATGTTTGAAGAGTAGAAGCGCCTTGCCAAGATATGAAGCAAAATGAAAAGGACTTGAGATTCCGAAGAAGGGTGGAATGAGTGCACTATCCTGAAATATGAATGCACAGCATATGAGCAAAGTCTTTTCTCCAGAGATAGACATGATGGGGATGTTTGGAGGCGGGGACAAGTAGATATTTATTACAATTACAGTGGTGATCTCAAGTTTAAAAGAAATGATCAGTGATCAAAAGAATTGTAATGATTTAGAGGCAATGAAGTGAATTTCATCATTATATGTTTAAGACAGAGCACATAGGATTTGTTCCCCCTTCTTTTGTTTGTATTGTTTTTAGCCTTTTCCCAAAGCTTGCAACAAATTTTGTGAGGATATTTAATGTCCAGTAATTTTGGCATATTGAGGGACCAAATCCACCAATCTTATCAGTTTTTTCTCCACCCTTAGATTGTTCCAATGGTGGGTGACCGCAAATAGTCCAGGAAAACGAAACTGTTGGTTTTATTAATTGAACCCCAAACAAACTAATCTTGTTATCAGTAAGAGGAATATTTATGGCCTTTATGGAATTGATATTACCTTAAGGTAAAAATGTGGCTAACTAATGTTCCAAATTCCATTTGTAATATAATCCCCTACAGTGTTTTTCATATTAGGAATTTGTGTATTATCAATGATTTTGATAAGCAGAAAAGGGAAGACCCAATTAAAAGTCCAAAATATAATATTATGGACATAGCCTACTATCGATCTCAGTAAAATATGACATTTTTAAAAACATTTTTCAGGAAAAGTGGATAGTATTTCATGTCCAATTAAGACACATAAATAAACTTTCAAAGCTGTATCATTAACTAAATTCCGAAACCACTACTGAATTATGTAGTCCCGAAGAACCAACCTTTCCTCTAATTTTAGAAATAGGTTAAGACTTTCCATGGGTCGTAGAAATTTGATGGTTTGTGTTTTGTGGCATTGTTTGGAAGGAGACCTGACATTTTCCAAACTAATTCCACAAAACACAAACTATCAAATTTAACCCACGGAAAGTCTTAACATATTTCTAAAAAGAAACGCAGTAGAAATAATGGAATACCCTATGTTCCAAACACTTATGATACCCTTTAAAATTCTACAGAAGTTTAAAGGGTCATCATTAGTCTTTGGAATCTAGGGTTACCAATAATAGTACGTCAAGCTTCCCACTCGCCTTCCAAAGAATCTCGAGCAGCCCCAGATTGCCAATTTCATAGTCAGCAGGTGGCTCGTGCCAAGGAGGGGAAAGCAAATTCCAGCTTGTTTATATCGAAAGCAACCTCAGAGAATCCCTAATGCCACAACAATCATTGAAAAATCACACAATATTAATGAGAATTAAAAAATGCTAGATATGGAACAAACCCAACAACAAGAAGCAAAGCCATAAGTAAACATTAAATTGAAATTGAAATTGTCTCAAATTAATGCCTCTGTTCTGATTGTTTGAAATCATATAGAACTACCAGGTCGATGTTCTCTTCAACAGCAAGATCCGGCGGAGGACGAGGCAGATCGTTGTTCTCACCAGCAAGCTCCGTACGCTCCATGGATATAGAGAAGAAGATGGAGGTTATGGCTGCTTGGCTTAGTTAGGGTTCTGAGAAGAGGAGACGAACAGAAAAGAAAGAGAAAACGTCGGCTCTACGAATAAACTGTCAAATACAAGAGTTGGCTTAAATAGAAAATTAAAAAACCCTAAAGTCATAGGAAATTCTGAGTTTGTGCCCTATTGAGTGTTTTGGGCTTTTTTTATGAGATTTTGGGTTTGGATTTGTTTTAAGAAATTAATGGCAATTTTGTCATTTAAAAGAAATTAAAGCCTTTTTGTTATGTTGTAAATGGACTTTTGGTGTGTTTCTAAAATCCATTTCATATATGTTTTTTAATAATTTAGACTCGTATATTGGATATAATAGTGAATCTTCCAAATAAAAAAAACCCTAAAGTCGGGAAATTCTGAGTTTAAATAATTTATATGCCCATTTTTAGACATTTCTGTGTCTAGTTAAGGTAGAGTTGGACTCATGTTCAAGTCTGGTTGACTGGCTAAGCCACTGTTTTTTATTGGGTTATGCGAAATCTTTCACTGGATTCATTGTTTTCAATGTATTCATGTTGGCATTTCGTTTCACCAAAAATTAAAAATATGCATGTTGGCAACTTCACTCTAGTTTTGTATTGCATATACCAAATGTGAGATGTGAACAAAATAGGCATCTGTATTCTGTCCAGTTAAATATGATCAAAATGGGCAAATCGCTTGCTACTTAACTAATTTAGCATTTGATTTAGAGGGCACTAAGAATTATTTAACAGACTTACTAACAGTTTTTGGCTAATGAAGATTCTATACGTAGATTTTATTTGAGTTTGCGTATAATTTGTTCAACTTATAAAGATCAAAAGACTGAAATGGGAGTTTAGGGGGTTTTATATACTTAACGCAAATAAAAAAGACTGAAGATTATACATGATGGACAAAGGCTTGGACAGTTCAAGAAGTTCAACGTCAAGAGTTTGGTTATAAGTGGATCCAACCTACTGAGAGAACTATTTTATTTTTGAGAAACCTACTGAGTGTAACTTTAATGCACAGCATGGCATGAGAAATTTGTACTGCCCATAAAAACAGCCATATTAAGTAAGCTCTCGAAATCGAATTGAGGCAGTAAAAGCAGGGGAGAAATGCCCGCTCATTTACGATAAATACTTCTTGAAGCACACACCAATACTCAGAAAGCTCTCAAAGTCTGATTGCGGCCTGCAAACAGGAGTTGGAATCAGATGGAATTGAAACCCAAGTATGAAATTTTATGAGCTTGATTGTAGTAGTGACTGACACTGAGAGACTACTACAATGTAGAAGAACGTTTGGATCGTGTGTTTGCTTTACCTCTCAATTGCATGAGTGTCATTAGGAAACACAATGACTTTGACAGGAACTCCTTTCTCTTTCAATGCCCGAGCATACTGCAAACAATAAACATCCAGATCACTCTTCCAATTTCACATCATTACAATTATGTAACCGTGTATGCATCAAATTCTTCCCACCCACTTGGGGGACAAAGGAAACCACTTTAAAAGAAAAAGATTATAAATAAATAAATTTATAGATTCCAATGGTTTGTGTATTTTATGTTTCATTCACTTTCTGATGCAATGCAGCCAATAAGAATTATTATCCAAGCACTTGTTATTCTTGTAAAACTATTTAAATAGACTAAAGTGTTCATTAAGAGGGGAACATATTAGCTTACTTGCAACCCAGTAGAAACTGGTGCACGAAGATCCAGAGCACCCAAAAGTAAAAGGGTGGGTGTTTTGACCTGCAGGGAGCAACAAAAATAAAAAAGTTAGAAGTAGATAATATCGTTCTAATATTAGATGTTTTTGGAAAAGGAAATTAATTGCATGTTTCACTTTTCTTGACTAAATGTTAATTCTATATATTACAGAAAACTTCAAGGTGGAGTAACATAGAAATCCCAGTACTGGTCCCACCAAAGTGGTCATAGGAGGGAATATCTAGATACAATCTTAACCCTTGGAATTGATTCGCTTGAATTAGCCAATGTCAAGAGTCAAGAATTAAACTTGCACAGAAGTATTTGTCATCATGACATGTACCAACTCTTTCCCATTTCTTCACTCTTTTCTGTTCCTGTTCTGTTTTTAGTTCAATTAATATTTTTCTTCACGTGATGCAGTGACAACAATACACATCTTGCCTGTGCAAATGGCAAATATCATGCTACTCTGCCTTTCCAAAGTCGATGCATGATTGCAAATTGCAGCTATTGAAGAATTTTATGGTATGTCTCCGTAGTTGCTTAAAATGTGAAAGTGCATGCAGTTAATTGATGTTGGGAGAGCTGCTATCTTGAGATTGTTTGGTTTTAAATGTTTCTGTAGATTTTCCTTCTATTCCGATGCAATATACTTCTAATGAAAGCTTCAAAATCCAGAGTAGGATCATAATATCGTAACATAAAAGTAGCCTAAACAAACTATATACCTTCGAGACATGTGCAATAGGAGATTTGCTCAGGAAGAGAGTCAGATGCTCAGCTGAAGGTGCATATGTGAAGCTATTTTGACCCTCACTTCCATAGGCCTCCGCGTAGCGCCAATCAGGGATGTCTGTTGTACCCACCATTATTGCGAGGTTACAAACAGGATTCCTAGCTGCTGCAGCAACAAATTTATCCTGTGCCTGCAGCATTTCAGTTACAATATTATTGAATTCTTAAGTACAACTAAAAGTACATGTACTTTCCACCTTTTAGAGCATTCATCTACCAACCTTGCATAAGTTATACGCTTTAAAAATAAAAATGAAAACTTTTAAGCATGAAAGCCCCAAACCACCAGTACACAAATAAGCAGCTGTCCAAAAGTTGAATCATCAACTAGTGGTATCCAGGACTTGGAATGCATAACAATAACAAGATAGAATATACATGAAGATAGTCTGCGAGTCTATGCATTGTACATTAAAGGCACACAGTCATGCTATTTGATAAACTACCACACCTGGCCAATCAAGTGGGTTTTCAGAAATCCACCATGAGAACCACCAAGAACTGCAAGTTTTGATGGACTGGCAAGGCCCAAGTCAATGACATGATCCATAGCCACCAGTACATTGTTCACGTCCTGTAGAGAAGAAACTAAGAGATTAGGATCCAGAAATAGTAAAGCACGTACATAAAGTAAATAATAGTTCTATAGGTGCATTAATAAGGTAAATGCTTAAATTACATAATGTAGACGTCAGAGAACATTGTCTGCCATCTGCATAAACTCCAGGGATTGCATCAAGGGAGTTAGCAAGAAGCTCAGCCTTTTGAACTAATCCAACTGCGACCTCTTATCTTTTTAATTCCCTGCCCTTCCATTTTGTCCCTCACAGCAGAAACATCAAACCAGCGGTCTGCTGCCGCATAGATGTTGGACAATAGCACATAATTACCAGGATTTAGGGGTTCAATCTCAAAGAGTCGATTAGCAACCAATTCCCCTAACTCTATATTTCCATTTAGCTTACAGGCTCCAAGTAGTGCACCCCAAGCACCAGCATGAGGCTCCATAGGCATTGATTGTAGAAGGTCATAAGCTGCATTTAACCGTCCCAAACGGCTAAGAAGATCAACCATACATGCATAATGATCAGGAGAGGGAGTCAAATGGTACTTATGTCTCATTGATTCAAAGAAGTGCCAACCCTCCTCAATGAGCCCTGACCGGCTACAGGCTGTCAGGATGACTGTAAAAGCAACCTCATCAGGAGCCAAACCTTCATTTAACATCTTATTAAAGAGGGCAACAGCTTGATCCCCTCGACCATGAACCGACAACCCTTGTATCATAGAACAATATGAAATCATGTCGCGTTTAGGCATCTTGTCGAACAAACTTGTTGCTCTTTCCATATTACCACACTTTGCATTCATGTCAATTAGAGCCGCGTGAACATGATCCTGACGAACATCAATTGAGCTCTGGCTCACGTAAGAATCAACCCATTTAGCCACCTGTAAGCAACCCACTTGGGAACAAGCTGACATCAAGCTCACCATTATAAACTCATCAGGCTTAACATTCCTTGTGCTCATTTCAAGAAATATCTTCACAGCCTCGTTGGGTTGACCATTTTGTGCATACCCAGATATCAATGCCGACCATGCAACAATATCTTTGTTAGGGGCTTGGTCAAACAAAAACCTTGCAGACGCCATATCTCCGTATTTGGCATATCCATCAATCATCGTAGTAAAAGAAACCACATTCTTCTCAGGCATCTGATCAAAGATCCTCCTAGCATTTGCTAAATCACCCAATTTCACAAACCCACTAATTATCACATTCCAAGACACCACATTTCTCTGCGGCATCTGATCAAACAGCCTGTGGGCCTCATCCAGTCCCCAACACTTGCATACCCAACAACCATAGCCGTCCAAGAAACTACATTTCTCTCAGACATTCCATCAAACACCTTGCGAGCGCACAAAATCTCCCTACATTTTCCATACAAGTCAATCAAACTGGTGCTCACAAACACATCCCCATCAACCCCACACCTCACCGCAGTCCCATGTATTGTCCTGCCTTCCCAGACCTTCGCCTCACTCGCACAGGCCTTAACGAGAGACGGGTACGTATACCTATCGGGAACACCCTCCTCTCTCTTCATCCGAACAAAGAGGTCAACAGTATCGGAAAAACTCGACCTTTCGCAGTACCCTTTTATCAAAGTGTTCCAGAGAAAGGTACTGGGACTGTGAACGCTGTCGAAGACGGCAGTGGAGTAAGAGAGGGAAGAGAGAGTGTTGCAGAGGCAAATGAACTGTGTTATGAGGAAGCAGTCTTGCTCTAAACCCTTTTGTATAATCTGCGCATGAACTTGTTGTAGATGGTATTGGGTTTTACAGGCTTTAAGCAAAGTCGCGATTGAGGCTAAAAACGAACTGCCTAAGCTATTGGGTGAAGCTAACGATGAGTAGGAGCGGATGGTAGGCATGGGATTGATAAAAGGTTCGTGCTTTGCATGGCTTTGAAATCTCTTCTTCAAACGGCAACTCGTATTCACTGGTGAGAAAAATGAAGAGGGGTTGATGCAGGCAGAAGAAAAAAAAGGCAAAAAAAGGAAGGGTACTTAAAAAACCATCAATGAAAAATCAGAAAACCCAAATTTGTGTAATTGAAACCTAGCATTTCAAGTTAAGCAAGCATATAAATTCTTGAAAAATTAGACAATGAAATTACCAGCAGCCGCGTGGTTCTTGGCTATGGTGGCAGCCTCGTTTTGCTTTTGGCGGTGATGAGAGGTTGGCACAGAGTCAACAGTTGGGCATGGAGAGAATGATGAGCTCTATCTATTTCTCAGCAGAAATGATGAACCCAAATTCAGCGAGAGAGTTTGAGCTGTTTCTGAATAACCCAAATCAAAAATTAAGAGAAAACACTACTCAATGGTGAAGGGTGGATTTGAATTTGTCAAGAAGATGATGGGCGCGCTGGCCTTTTTGGGGGGGGGGGGGGGGGGGGGGGGGGGGGGGGGTGTTGGTTTGGGCCTCACGTGCTAGGTTTGCATGCACAGGCCCTTTGCCCATATTTTTAAAATGGGTTAACCTTGATCTACCCATCAACGTTTATGCTACTTCCAATTTGAATCCTGAACTTAAAAAAATATATATAATTAAGAATACAAACTTTTTCTTTTCGTCAATTTCCCCTGCCGTTTAAACCTCAATCTTTCTTTCACCAACTCTACCTGACATGACCCAACTCAAATTCCACTTTAGAATATGCGTCGAATCCTATACGTATCTAACACCTGTCAGGTGTCGAGTACACTTAACCAAATTGCCCTCTAAACTAAAACTCAAAAATTCTTTTAAGGTTTAACTTTTGCCGAAAATTCGGCAGAGTCTCCCTTGTAAATTGCTCGTTTCCCAAAATTTACACCTGTACAAAATGCAATTCATATATTCACAATCGTTCAGCATGCACAATGTTAGAACACACACAATCCAACAGCAAATCTATGTGGCCTCAGGTCTTATAGAAATCCAAGGGCAATATCAGAGCCTACTAATTAATTTAATTTACAAGAATAGTACAGTTATAGTAGATTATCCTACATAATGGAAGTGGAAGAGTGGTGGGTGATGAATGCCCGGTGGTGGTGCTCCGGTACTCAATTACTGCCTGGGGGTGCAAAATATTAAAAGTGTGAGTGGACAAAAGAAGGTTTTGCAAAATATAATATCAACATTGTTTGTACAAATTTCCTCACGAGAATATTCGTCTAAGATTCCTTCGTCTTCTCCACTTCTCTTTCTCCCTGCAAAACAAATCGGGGTAAAAGGACCACACCCGGGGGGTGTTGGCCAAAGGCCCTCCGATGCCTAAGTTAGGTAGGGTATTTCAAGGAAAACCGGGTGGCCGGAGCCGTGTGTGGTGGCCGGAGCCTTGTGTCAGAGAGAGAAAGAAAGTGGTGGCTAGGGTTTGTGAGAAATAATTTCTGCAGAGTTTCAGTAGGAATTTAGACGTACCTTGACCTTTGTGCGTAGCCAAGTATTTATAATGGTCTCGGAGATTAGGGTTTCAGAGGAATAATTCCGTAGTTGGTAAGGAATTATTCCTCCCTGATTTGGCATTGATTTGATTAATTAGGGATTTGATTTATTTGGGTAAATCAAATCCCCAATCGTGGTAGGTATCAGATCAAATCCTAATTTAATTAGGTAACTCCTCATTTAATTGGGAATTGGGGTAGGAATCAAATCAATTCCCAACTTAATTAGGTAATTCTCAATTTAATTGGGTAACTCCCAATTAAATTGAGTAACTCCCAATTAGGTTGAGTAATTCCCAAATAGGTCAAATAATCCCCAAATGGAAGGAATTATTTGACCTAGGGTATGATTTAATTCGGTTCCCACAAACATACTAACCCCACTAAAACCATTTGAAAATTCATTTAATCCGTGTTTATAATCGTACAAAAATCAAGCATGCATATTTATATTCATATAACCGTTCATACATTCCAACAATTCATCAAAACTATTTGAAAGCATGGAAAAATAATAATTCTTTTCCACCTAAGTGTACCCATCATAAATCCGTTAATTCCATGATTTTTCTATTTATTTCTCACATTATACCGTCAATTCTAAGTGTCACATAAGTGACACCTCCTCACAAAACTTGGAAACACAAAGTTAACCCGATCTGCATTCCTCGCAGAACTCTAGAGACACTTGGTCAACCTAAGCCGCCTTCCTCACTCCTTAAGGTCCGAGTATCCTTAGGACTCGTGGGTCAACTGTCAAACGAGTGCTGACTCAACCGAATGCAACTAGGATGTCCATGGACATCATTATATTCGAAGGCTACAGTTTATTCGAAGGCAACATTTGGGTACCTATGGTGGTTTAAAAACCTTTCCTAGAAAATTATAATATTATTTCTCATTATATCCTTAAATCCTGTTACCATTTCCTCTTCTACTTTCCAAGTCATTCACATTTAATCATAAACAAAATTTTATAAAAGCATTTGAATTCAAACTGTATTTTTTTCCCAAAATCGCAATTAAAAACATGATGACACAAAGACAATTAAAAACATATAGAAATTTATCCATAAAGACAATTACAATCTGCATAATTTCAATTGGGTTCCAAATTTCAGGTGCAAAACATCCAAATTTCAGTTGCAAAACATCAAATTCAAAATATGCTCATTGCTCACAATCTGAGAGAGAGAGAGAGAGAGAGAGACAGAGAGAGAGAGAGAGAGACAGAGACAGAGACAGAGACAGAGACAGAGAGAGACAGAATTGCTGCGAGAAAACTGCCGCTAGTCTATGTGAACTGCTGCTGCTGGAGGATACAGAAATTGGTCAGACAGAGAATCGAAGGGAAAAAAAGAAGAAGAAAAAAAGACATAATCTAACCGGTGTGAGTGATGGCGACGCGACGGCTGAGAGAGAGAGAGGTTTCACGCAGAGAGACAAAGAGTTTAACGGCTGAGAGAGAGATGAAATGAAATGGGAGGAAGAAAAAAAAAACCTAGGTTGTGTTAAAATTTTGTGATAATCCTCTGTATGCGGGTCTATGGTAGCACTTTAGACAACCAATAAAAATCATTCACATGTTAAACTATATATAAAATATAAAATATATATATATATTAAATTGTATTCGGTTCGGATTGGACCGGTTCCTTGTGGTGGAAAACCGAGACCGGAACCAGTCTAAATTGGTCATGCTTGGATTTGTCACGATTTTTGATTTTTTCAGTCAACACGATTTTTTTGGATTTTTTTGGTTTGGTTTGGTTCGGTTTTGCGGTTCCAATGCCCACCCCTAGTTTCCACAGTGGTGCTCCTCAGTTGATTGGAGAAAGAGAGAATAAATTTTCGTATCTTCAGAAAACGAAAACATTGAAATTGAAAACAATTTTATCATTTTCAACTTTTGTTTACAAAGTTGTATTTGTTTTCATAAAACATTTTGTGAGGGAAAACGAAAATGATCGACCGAACGTGTATTTGCTAAAAAACAGGAAATGAAAAAGGAAAACGGGGTCTTAAAACATTATCGAATAGGCCCCTAGTTTTTATACCAGAAATTTTTCCCATTGGGTCCACATAGTAGAAATGACGTGGAAAAGGCCTATTAATATAGTGTTGGACCTAAAAGAGAACCTAAGGGATTGAACCCAAAAATCCACGTCCGTAATGCAATGGACTAGGCCCAAGTAGCCGGTGTTGGCCCAATATGCAAAGGAAGTCCAAACTGCCAAACCAAATTTGTTATTATGATCCAAAAGCTTGTGGGCCGAGGTCTCAGCCTAATAGTGAAAAACAAACAGCCCAAACTTTGGACCCATCCAAATTTTACGATGAAGCTCGATCAAAATCAAGGCTCAGCAATTTGTACCTCACCGAGTAAAAATTGTGAGAACTGACTTTTGGAAAACAGCATCACGTGAGGAATCTTGAGCAGTGCACCATGCAAAAGGCAAAAAGGATGATGCGGCGTTTAATTAGTTTTTGGAACTCGTGCAACTTAGTTTGGAAGCCTCAGAATTCACAAAGAAAACTTATACAGAAATATAAACCTCGAAACCAGTGATCGAAGCATGACGTGATGGCGAGAAGGCGGCTTACGCAACAAGTTGGGCTATGGCCACAGGGCTCGACAACTTTTGAAGGCAACAATGTTCGCTTATAAATAGAAGACTAGACTTCGTTTTTTAGGACACTCAACATCTCAACCAAAAATCAAAGCAAAATGCTATTTAAATTTCCTTTTAAACTAGACTTAGTTAAATTGTCATTGTTTTCTTAGGTTTTCACGTAGCTATATCATCAAGAAACTTTTAGGCTTGGTCAAAGTTTTTTGAGCACAATCATTGTAGCCATCCATATTTTATATCAACAAACAGCTCTGTTCATTAAAGTTTTTGTTTAAGCACCACCCAGTTCCAAAGCAAATCATAGTGAGAGAGTTTCATGTGTCCTTCCACGCCCCCAACTCACGCAAAATCAAAGCTACACGAGGCATGCTTCAAATTCAAATTTGACAGTCAATTTGATTAAGGGATGCACACTACTACAAAAATTGAAATTGACGACGGGAAACCACTGTCGTGTAGAAGGTTTTCCAACCGTCGTGAAATCGACTGCCATATTTTGCACTATCAACAACGACGGTTAATAACCGACGTTGTTAAGGAATTCAACGTCCATATTTATTACTAACCGACGTGTAATTACTATATAATTAGCCTAAAATGAAATCTCCGACAACATTACACGTCGGTTTTATGAAAATCGAGACGTCTAAACACTGTTACATGTCAATATCAAAAGAAGAACCGACGTACAGATAATTATCCACGTCTCTAAATGAAGGAAAAAAGATTGGGATAAGCTAGAAACCGTCGTGGTTAATAAAAAAAAAAAAAAAAAAAAAAAAAAAAAAAAAAAAAAAAACCATAAACAACGACGTACCACAACAACCACGTACACACAAAAAAAACAGTTTAAAGAGTATTACATGAAATTTGTCTTTCCATAACCGCCGTAAAATAAAATAACCACGTCCTGCACCAGGCATCACCGACGCTTATGTATTTATCCACGTCGTGAACTATAATACAAACCGACGTGTTAACTCGTTGACATGTCTATTTTTTTCGAGAATCGTCGTTTAAATAGTACAAAGAAGGCCCTTTAACAGAGGTAGACGTCACTTTTTCTAAATAACCGACGTTTAAAAATTTAAAATGACATAATATTACTCAATATCGACGTACAAAACTCTCCCCCGCGTCAGTTTATGTCAAAGGCTGACGTTATAAATAGTATTTAAGGCGTAGATAGGAATATAACCGACGTGGATTATAGATTCAACGTCCGTTTTTGTAAAATAAAGGACGTGGTTAATTACTTCACTACGTCTAGAGATCCATCTGCTTGACGTTGTAATTACTTACCACGTCAATTCTTATTACATAATGACGTGGTTGTCCTTTTAAAAGTCGCTTGTTTGACCTGCCGTGACGTATGTATGCGCAGAGACGTCAGTTGTTTTGGACTAGCAAAAGTGCAGAACATCTATCACGACAGTTAATGGAACTGAACGGCCTTTATTTGGGGTTTAGACGACGGTTTATTTTAAGCAAACCGTCTTGATTTCTTTTTCAGATGTCTGTTTTTTTTGTTTTACGGTATGTTCCCTGGGTGAAACCCTACGTTGTTTTTATTTTAGACATCTGTATTTCCAATTTTTATCCCTGACCGTCGTACTTTACAGCTTTAACCCAGCTTTTTTAATTTTTGATTTGCCTTGCCCAAAGCCTGCATAATGAAAATGTTATAAGAATTAAAATGTTGTACATAATTATTAATTAATGTCATATAATTAACTGAATAACTAAGGTCATACATTACAACAATCAATCAATCCATATATCTTCACACCCATCTCTAATATTTTCATTCCTAAACTCACCCACTAGGTCATCAAATATGTCAACATTTGGTATCCCTCTAGTAAATGGCTCACACTCAATTCTAGTATCACCTAGCACATCATCACCAATAACATCATTATATTCTCTATTAGGCATTGATAACACTACCGACTAACCACGATGCATTGGGTCGTTAACATAAAATACTTGTTTGACTTGAGAAGCCATAACAAATTGGTCATTCCTATGTCCAATTTTACTCAAATCTACAAGGGTAAATCCAAGTTCGTCAACTACAAGGCCTGAAGTGTTATCTATCCAATCACACCTCAAGACTGGGATTCCAAACTTTTGGTAGTCAAGGTCCCAAATTTCTTGAATAACACCATAAAAACCCATATTGGAGACAATAGGGTTTTTATCCTTGACACTAGCAACTTGCATAGTATGTGTAAGTAAATAAACTCCACTATTTTGGACAGTTTGCACATCATCTTGTGCCTTGGTGTTAAATTTAACACAATTAATAAGATAGCTCCTATATGATAGCACTGCCATGCTTGGACCAGCTGCTAGCCACCTCAAATTTTCTGATACGCCATTATGCTCTTCCCCATTAAGTTCACTTTGAACCTGCAAATTAATCATATATACCTTAATTCAATCTAACATATAGAATGGAACAAAATTAAAAGTTGATGCATGTCATTCAATAACATATATACCTTAAAGTGGAGCCATTGAATGAAAGGGCTATTGTGCTTATCATGCAGCCACTTTGTTCTCTTTCTAAATTTTGGATAAGTGGTCTTGATGTGGATCATATGTTCCCTACATTGACACCAAAAAATCAAGCATTATGATTCCTTGTATATAAGATAAACATAAGGAATAATATATTTAAAATGGCTCCATATGAAAAATAAAAGTCATACTTACTCGATATAAGGTAGGACTTCCTCCGTATTCTCCAAGACATATAATGTGTCTGGTTTAACAAGTCCCGGTCAACTAAGCTTACTGTGCAACCTGATAATGGCTTCAAAACTCCCATCTTCTGGCTTGAAGGCACTCCAACTGTATTAACTTCAGATAAATGCTCGGTGCAAAACTCTACAGCTTCTTCAACTATATACCGCTCAGCAATGCAACCTTCCGGACGAGTACGGTTCTGAACATACCCTTTTAGCACTTTCATATACCTTTCAAACGGATACATCCATCTAAAATATACTGGGCCACATAGACGAACTTCTCTGACAAGATGTACTATTAGATGAACCATGATATCAAAGAATGAAGGGGGAAAGTACTTCTCAAGCAAACACAAAGTAACTACTACATCTTCTTCCAACTTATCTAGCTTGGAAACATCCACCGTCTTTGCACATATAGCATTGAAGAAGAAGCACAATCGAGTTATTGCATACCTTGCAGGCTTCTCCAAAACAGAACGAATTGCCACATGGAGCAATTGTTGCATCAAGTTATGACAATCATGAGATTTAAGTCCAAGAAGTCTTGAATCTTTTAAAGATACAAGATTTTTTATATTTGAACAATAACCTTCAGGGACCTTCATACCATAGAAAGAATTGCAAACCGCTCTCTTCTCTGCTCTTGACAAATTCCAAGGCCCTGGAGGCAAGCGAGTACGTCTTTGTCCATCCTCGGGTTGCAAATCAGTTTTGAACCCCATGTTCAATAAATCTAACCGACCAGCAATCCCATCTTTATTTTTTCCAGGGATCTCCAGCAATGTACCAATGATACTATCGCAAACATTCTTCTCAATATGCATAACATCTAGGACATGCCTCACATGAAGGTATTTCCAATACTCGAGATCAAAGAATTTTGATTTCTTCTTCCAACAAACTCTGTCACCATCATTCTCACCAACACTTCCCCCATTTTTCGAGCCCTATATGTAATTAATATCTTCAACAATGTGCAACACTTCTTCTCCGTTTAATGACTCGGGAGGCGTATCATATTCAGGTTTCCCATTAAAAGTTGCACGCTGCCTCCGATATGGATGATTGATTGGTAACCATTTTCTATGCCCAATGTAACAAATTTTGTGGCCATTTTTCAACCCGTGACAAGGTGTATCATCGCCGTATATTGGACAAGTTTTATATCATTTAACAACACAACCAGATAAGTTCCCATATGCAGGAAAATCATTAACTATCCACAATAATACACCTTTGAGTGTAAAGTATTCTCCTATATGTGCATCATAAACTCCTATAATCTCATTCCACAGAGATTTTAAATCATCAATCAAAGGCTCTAAGTAGACGTCTATATCATTTACAGGCTATTTAGGACCGGAAATCAATAAGGTCAACATCATGAACTTCCGTTTCATACATAGCCATGGTGGGAGATTATATGTAACTAAAATAACTTGCCAACAACTATATCTGCTACGTATAGAACTGTGGGAATTGAATCTATCAGATGAGATAGCTAATCTCAAGTTTCTCGGCTCTTTACCAAACTCGGGCCATTTATCATCAACAAGTTTTCAAGGCGGGGAATCCGCTGGATGAGACATTTGATCGTCAACTAATTTTCTAGCAGCATGCCAAGTCAAACTCTTAGTTGTCTTATGTGATTGAAACATCCTTTTAAACCTTGGAATTGGAGGAAAATACCACACCACCTTCGCTGGCACACCCTCTTTCAAGATTGAATTTTTGCATTTCTTCCACCTTAAGACACCACAAGTAGGACAATTAGTTGAATCTTCATAATCCTTCCTATACAACATGCAGTCATTGAGACATGCGTGGATTTTCTCATAACTCATCCCTAAATCAGACAATGTCTTTTTGGCCTCGTACATAGAGGAATGTAGTGTATTTCCTTCTGGAAGCAAAACTCTTTGAAGTATCAATAATTCAGTAAAACAAACATCACTCATCCCATGTTTTGCTTTCAAATTATATAATTTCACCAAAGCCGACAACATCGTGTACTTACTGCTACCAGGGTACAAGGGTTGATAGCAAGAAGGCACATGTCATGTGAAATTTCAGGGATGCAATGCTCAAGTCTTCAGCTGAGAAGTCCAACATCAGCGATTTTCCCTGCAAAGATGTTGGCGCCAGGTCTGGTTCTTCTGCTGAGAAACAAAGAGCTATTGACCTTTCTCATAAAAACTCGGGTTGTCTACACCAATCTAAGGAGGAAGATCAAACTGAGAAGGCTGCTTCTTTGCTTAGCAGGTACGCGCCATCTGCTGAAATATGAGAGGCCAAGGGTGGAGCAGGTCCAACATTATTGACTCTCTTTGAAGCGAGGATGACGATGGTGCATGCGGTGAAAGAGTCATCTACTTGAGCTAAGAGTCGCGATGATCTGCCTAGGAAGGCCAAGCCTAGTCATGATGATAGGGACATGTGTTCACTTGATCTGCTCAAGAGTAACTTTCTGGGAAGCTCTTATGCTTGTGTTGGGCTAGTAGATCACATGTGGCAAGTTGGCGATCTTGGCTCATTTCCAAGCATTTCTCCAAAAGAGAAGAAGAATAAAGCTCTTGCTAAGCTTCAAAAATGAGTGATTTTCGTTGCTGAGGCTATCTAGAGCTCATCTACCGTTGTTCCTTCTCCAACATAACTTGAAAAGCTGGAAAAGAAGAATGTTGCTTTGTCATACCTGCTCTCGACCGAGCGGAAGCGTCATGAGACCAAAGTTTCTAACTTGAAGAGAAAGTTGTCCATACTAGGAGGTTGAGCCACAGTCTCGGCAGCGGAAAGTGGTGGTTGCCTCGATGTTGCAGCGTCGTGATGACTGCCTCGATGTCGCAACTTCGTGGAAGCTTGGAGCCGTTGCGGTGGTCTTGCTTCTCGTGCGCTTGCTTCCAACCATGGTTGTTTGGAAAGCTTTGGTTGAGTGATGAATTGGAAGAAACGGATTCCTTAGATTCGAGAGCAACGTGTTGAATATAACTCAATGCTCTTAATGTAAGCACCAAAATGTTTGTGCAAAATTCTCACAAAAGAGTATTCGACAGAGATTCTTCACCCTTCGAGCTTCCTTCTCACTCTTCCTACATGATTCATGCTAAAAAGGTTGGAGTAAATAAACCACACCCTAGGGGTGTTGGACAAAGGCCCTCCGATGCCAAAGTCAGTTAAATGATCTTGAGAAAGATATGAAAATAACTGAGAAGGTCGGAGTTTTCTCTATGGTAAGAGAGAACCAAGTGGCCGAAGCCGTGTGTGAGGGTGGTTAGAGCAGTGAGGGAAAGGGGAGAGGGGAGAGAGTGGCATGAGAAATAGGGAATTTTGTAGGCAAGAGAGTGCCTTCTAGGGTTTTTCAGAGAATAATTCTCATATGGAATTATTCTCCCCCTTTAATAGAGAGTTTGGATCAATTAGAGATTTAATGAAAATCAAATCCCTAATTTATGGTATTATTCATATTTTAAGTCTAAACAATTGGCTAATTAAATGGAGTACAATTGTTGACCTAAGAACTATTCTCATTGTCCACGTGGCGCCTCATGATTGGTTGCCTAAATATTTGCTCTCACACTTGACACGTTTATTATCCCAACATAACACGACTCACTGCCAGCTCTAATAGTACCATAATATGTGGAGTATAAAATTTTTATGAGAGTCAGTCTAATAATATATAATATATTATATAAAAAGTAAATTTGATCATATATATATATATATTCTAAACAAGGGAGGTTTAGGGTTGGGATTAAACATCATCTCATCCCTAAACACTATAACCAAAAATTTCTCCAAATCCATTCCCATACTCAATTTTTTTCCTCCGTACCCGACTCATTAGGGATGAAGTCCGGCAAAAACTCAAATCCGCAAGAAAAATTGTGATCCTTATTATTGAGCCAATTATGAGGAGTTGAAGGATCAATTATTACTAAAAAGAAAAATCGAAAATGAAGGGTCAATAATTTGATTTCCTGACCTTGTCACCGAATGCCACGTCATACAACAATTTCCATTTGTCACGCAAATGGGTAAATTAGTAATTGTACTGTAGCTGAAATGACCAAAAGAACATATCTACCTCCACGTGGCCAACTACCACGCCATACTGTCCCGGCTCCCCAATCATTGACTGGTACAACAAAAGCACCTCCCCAAGAATACAGCTCCCCAAGAATACAGCTCTGCGCCTAATCACACTCTGCCACGTTGATTTATGTGAAGCGTACCACAATGGTCGGGTTGTAGTTGAATGTTGCCCTCAAGAAAGGTGGGCCCCGCTCGGCGCCTGCTGGGATTGAAATTTGAATCTGGGAGATTCGGGAAAGGAAGTCAAAAGGAATTATAAGCATTTAGAAAATTTAAAAAGTTAAAAACGCAAAATAGCTGTCGAGAAAAGCATAAACACCGCAAAAATAATATAAATTAAAATAAATAGCAATTTTATTTATTTATTATTAATATAATATTACAAATGTTAATATGCTCGTTCTATTTAAGACAAGGCCGTCTTTTCAAGCAACCCAAAATAAAATAATACATAAATTATAAAATAAACAAATAAAGACAAAGCCGTCTTTTACGATTGAAGGAGACATTGGGCAAAGCCACAGAGCTTTCCAGAAGTTGTATTGTATCGTATGCATACCTTTTGGGATTTGAATTTTATGCCCTTGTATTCTTTCATATTTGTATTTTTGGCCTTTCTATTTTTTCATCTTTATGTAATAATACATTTATAATGTGGTTATTAAAAACAAACCCCTGAGTGGTATTTTCAACCCACATTGTATCCTCAGAATATAAACAATACAAATTTATAAATAAACCCAATCCTAGACATGTATTTATAAAAAAACCCAAGCATTATTTAAACATAGAAACACACCCAAAATCAACCCCAAAGTCAACTTTTTGGGTGTGTTTATAAATGGGTTTTGAGTGTGTGTAATGATGGGTTTTGGGTGTGTTTATAAAGTGTTTTGGGTGTTGGGTTTTTTTATAATTTCAACCTCCATTTTGGGTGTTTTAGTGAAACTCCCTATAAACAAAGCAGAAGGAGCGAGAAGAATCTTATTACAATTCCTATGCTCATTTGACTGCCTTGCAAATTTAACAAGAAGAATCTTATTTAGAATATGATGTCGAAGCAAAAAGTAAATAAATAAATAATTTTACATTATACTTGGACCTTCTTATAAATAAATAAGTACGAGATATTTAGTTATATACTCATTCTTAGCACTAGTGATATAAATAAATCATACACCATTTAATTTCTATAAATGAACCCAAAAAATTACAGCTGGCTATATTGAATTTAATTTTGATTATTAATTACTTTGATGCCTTGTTTAGTGTTTTGGAATTTTACAAGATTTTGGGGTTGGGCTTGTTTTAAGAAATCGATGATAATTTTGTAATTTATAGAAAGTTCGAAGCCTCTTTTTTTATGTTGTAAATGGATTTTGGGTGTGTTTCTAAAATCCATTTCATGTATTTTTTTTAATAAATAATTTGGGCCCCTATATTGGGCATAATAGTGAATCTCCCAATAAATAATTGGATCTTACACTAAAAAAACTTAGATCTTGTCTGAAGAAGAGCTCGATTGAGGAAGTTAAGTAAGAATTAGAATAGCTTTGGTACAAAAATAAGATAAAGTAAATAGAGTGCACCTAAGACCTAAAATTCAACCAAAGCAATAGCTAGGCCAAGCAAGGAGCACATTCCAATGTCATTTTTCTCTGCCATATGGAGCAAAGAGTGAAAAAAAAGAAAAAGAAAAAAAAAGGAAATGAAACTGTGAAAAATACAGGGA